ACAAGTGCTTCCATGTCGACGTACTTCACCTTCCGTTCTTTGTCCTTCTTCGATTTTCTAGGACACGAAGAAGTGAACTTCACGTCGCCAGCGAATGTCACGTTGCGCTTGGTCTCTTTTCGGGTCGACGTAGTCGGTCCCGAGGATTCGTCGTCGGTTGAACAATCCGAGTCAGCGTCGCTGTCAGCGGATGGACAATCTGACTCTTCCTCATCTTGTCTTGAAGATCGCTTCCATATAGCCGGGGCTGATGGATTCCACCTTCGGCACAATCTAATGGCGGGTGCCGCAGGGAGTGCCTTGGCCTTAGCATTCGGTTTCGCTGGAGCTGCCTTTGCTTCGGATTTGGCTTTGGCTTTCGCCTTTGGTTCCGGAGCTGGGGTAGCTGCGGCCTCATGCTTGAAAGGACAATTCTCTCTTGAGCACGAGCCTGTGTTCTTGAAAGAGTAGCATATCCTATTTCCTCCTCCTCCAGATGGACTTGGAGTTCTCGTCCTCGGCGTAAAGGGTCGCTCTGGAGTCTTCTTCGAGTGACTGAATGGGCACTTGTCACCATTTCGACACCCTGCATCTGTGAAATGGAACTTGCAGCGGATTTGCTTCTTGCTCTTGTCGCCTCTGTTGTCCGCCGACTCACTCCTCGTCTTCTTCTTGGGCTTTGGCTTGGTCTTCGCATGACTCTTCGCTTTGCTCTGAGGTAGTACAGGTGTTGCTTTATCCGGCTTGGTAGGCGAAGCTTTGACCTTTGCGGATGGAGCTGCATTAGGCGTTGGTTTCTCAGGTACCTTGGCCGGCGCAGCGAGCAAATCCTTGCCCTCAAGCATCTGGCGCAAACCAATTTGGGTCTGAGTGAGATTTGATTGTTCTCGTCTCCGCATGATGGTACGATCGATGATCTTCATCAGATTGTCGTACGATCGGTCTTCATGATTGTAGGGCAAGTGGTCATAGTGCATGCCCAAATCCATCTTCATTGCGGGCGAGTCCTTGATCTTGCTGTGCAAGCAATCACGGAGAGCTGTTTTGGATGGTATGTCTTCTGGTCTCATCCGTCCAAGAACTTCCAACCACGTCTGCTTGAACGTATGAAGTTTGTTGTCGCCTTGGTACTGGAGCTTCACCAGATACTCGAGAGTGATGATCATGTCGAGACGATCATGCGTTCGAAAACTTTCATACATCATCGCAATGATTTGTCGTCCTTTGATGATCTTCCCTTCGGGCCTGCTGATGTAATCGTTGGCCTTCCGGTTCACCTCCAGGTACAGATCAGCGGATTTGTCACCACCAGCGCGTAGCATTGCGACCATGGAGACCCCCAATTTGACGTCTATGCTCTTGAACTTCTTGTGTCCTGAATCGTTCAGTGCTTCGACATCAGGGAATGGATTGAACGCTGGTGCCAGCCATAACATCCAGTCCTCATGATTTGGGTCGGCTGATGCTCCTAGGACATTCGCCGTGCATACGGACCGCCAGTTGTTCAGGTGAGTGAGAACAGGCCATGGAGGGACTGTCACTTTATCGGCCTCTCTCCTGGAAATTCTCACCTCCGTGACCTCAGGATCTGCGTCTCCGTCAGGATCACGCGCATGAGGGTCAGGATCCGGTTCAGGTTTGCCTCCACCGTTCCTCTTCTTATCATCATCGTCATCATTAGGCGGATCTGGAGGGTCATACCCCGTGCCGGCCCCTTCATCTTGCTCTCCCTCTTCGTTCTCGTCGCCAGCTTCATCACCGTCATCGTCTCCATTGTCTTCCTGAATCGTTTCAGCGAATAATCTCCACTCATCACGATCAGCTCTGAGACGTTGTTCGGCTTTCTGGGCCTTGAGTACTTCGCTTCGCAGATCAGCAATCTTCTCTTCGTACTGTTCCGCGACCTCTTTCTCGATCTGACGTCTCCTTGCCTCATGGATGGAAGCATCGTGGGTGACAGGGGCACCATTGGGGTCGTTGCCCCTCATAGATGCGATAATGCCGTCGATACCAACAGGTCTTGAGGAGCTGGCAGATGCTGTGGACTTCGATCCCAACATCCCGCGATCCTCCAAGAGTTCACGTAGCTGTCGGTCACGCACGGCTGCCGCATCACTTTGTCCATGAAATCCGCTTGGTATGCCAAACAGAGTGGCTGCACTGGGCGTGGAACGCGCATGTGCTGGACTGCTAAAATGCCTGGCACGTGGTGCTGGGGCATTGCATCCGCCACGATTGGCGTTGCGTAGGATTTATTTACCTCACCTTTGATGTTGCCAGTGAAGAAGTTTCCACCGGTAAATGGGATGCCATCCATCGCAAGGTTCTTGTCCTTGTCCGATTCTGAGAATGCGAACTTCTCTTTGGCGACTGGACTAATTTGACTTGGGGACCGTATTTCAGGGGATCGCACCTCACCTCCTACGGAAAATGCAGGCACTACTTCCTTTCCTACGTGCTCCCAGCCAGACTCAGTAGTCCTCGAAGACATGGGCATGCTCGAAGGCCGTGTCACTCCGCCATGGTAGTTGGAGTTCCGTGCTGCCTCCAATTCGCTGCGTGTCCTCGCTTGAAGATCTTCTTGTGCTTTGAGCGTTTTCCTGAGTTCGCTCAGCTCGTCGTGCAAGGTGGGCAATGCGCGCCTTGCATGATCCTCATTCTGATGAAGTCGGTCCTCTGCATCTTGCATCCTCCTCACAGCCATTTTGCGGTACTCTTCCTCCTCACCAAGACGTTCGCGAAGCCGAAGTCGTTCTTGATCAATGGCTGCGCTGTTTCCAGCTAGCCCTTGAATCTCGTTTACGGCCCGCAACTCCTGATTCCTGACCAGGTGGAATCGTTCCTGCATCGCTTGTAAGGCTTGTTCTGAACTTGCTGTGTTCGACCGGAGGAACAAGTTCTCTCTGGCTTGTTCATGAAGTTCATGAGTCAGATGCTCATACTCACGTGCCATAAGCTCACCATCGCCTTGCGCTCTTGCCTCCAACTGCACAAAGTTAGTGGCTGCTTCCGTGCGGAACACATGTAGCTGCTGAGCCAACTCCTCGGCAACGGCGTGTGCTTGACGTTGTTGAGCAGAGTTCTGTTCATCCATGCGAAACAAAGCTGTTTCATAGTCTCGCTTCATCTCCTGATTGACATTGTTGATGTGCCTCATGGCTAAGCATGCATGGTCACGTTGTCGTTCCAATTCTTCGATGCGAATCCCAGATCCTTCATCTTCTTGCTGCATCTCCTTGATCTTCTCCATCAGGGTCTGGACAACACCTTCGTACTCCTGCACCTGACTTCGATAGTACATCTGCTGTGCAAGGTTCGATGCTTCAAATTGTTGCGGAATTGTCAATCCCTGGTAGGCATTCGGACCATCGGCAATGGCTGGTGTAGTCACTGACGAAGCGTCACCCCGTGCAGGGATTGTGTCCAGAGTCATATCCAGATCGTCAGCCTCGCGTGGTTGATTGGTAACCATTCGATTCCACGTCATGGACTTGTCACGTCCACGAGTGGCCGAAGTCCTTGATCGTGCTGAAGAGCTTCTTGAAGATGATGGTCGCGGCTTCTTTTCCAAAGTCTTCACTCCCTTGTCCTTTGCCCTCGACGGGGTCCGAGGTGCCTGAAAACCAGACGCTTCGGATCGTCGTTCTGGAGCCTTGCTCGTCCTCGAACCTGTGGATGTTGGACGCGAAGGCGTGGATGCTCTTGGTAGACTCTTTGCTTTCGCTTTGGGAACTGCCTTTGCAATGGCAAGCGCAGAAGATTGACCTTTGTCATCTTCCGTGGAGCTATCAACGGATTGCACCACTGTGTCATCAGCTGTTGACTCACCAACGGCTGGCGCTGCCACATCGGCACCGAAAGTCATTGTCGTATCTTGACTTGATCCCGAGTTCATTGTGGTCGTAGTAGATCAAGTAGTCTTTGCTGCAGAAAGGCAGAGCCGCGTACGGCTGATAACCTGCGTGGGGATTTGATCCTGGTAATGTTCTGTATCGCTCACCCCACAAAGAGCTGTATTGACTGTTGGCGTGGTTGCCTTCCACAAGCTGGATCACCGTTACTTCCACTTCCACACACGCACTCCTATGCAGGCAGATCCAACGTTCGCTCGTTTTGCACACTCACGGCCGGCGGTGGATCGTCTGTGCACGGGATAGCTCTGTCTACTCGGAGGATCACAGAAGATTATAGCACTTTAGCTATGGGCAATGCTTTCTAGAGCTTGTGCTCATTCTTGAGCCAAACGTTGCATGGGCGGTCATACTGAAAGGATGGATAGGCATTGCGGTGTGCGTAGCACTACCACAAGCCTACTCCTAGAGACGAGGGACGCGTGGCGTGCCCCCTTCCCTTGCACTTTACACGGTCTTGCTCACAGCTCTTATAGTGACACCTTAGAACTTGACAAGGCATCGCAGTCCGTTCGCATAGTGTCATGCCCTGACTGTGCATTGCATACAATAACTGTTCCCTGGAACGCCCTCGTACAGTCGGAGGGTAGGGACAGGTACACACATAGCCACGGAGAAGCTGCGATTGCCCCGACCATAGCTCTTCCTGGAGCCCCAAAGCTCAATGCCCTCGCAAGATATGAGGGTAGGGACACGTAAAAAGCCATACACTCCTCCCCCTTATCTGGAGTGGGAGAAAGAGTGTGTTGAAACTACATGTTTTTAGAAAGCAACGCGGGCCTCTAGGGAGCATACAAAGAACATGTACTAGAGTGGAGTGGCCGGGCCTTCCCTGTCCACGAACTCACTCTGCTTGCAACGGACCACCCGCAGGGTCCATCACTACCATCGCGGGAGTCGAAGCAGCAGGAAAGCGGCACTCACACGTGACAAAGCTCATCTATACTGAAGCGAGGCCAAGCAAAGCGGAAAGCTGAAAAAGTAATGCATGCGAGAAGCTGCGGCTTGGCTGTTGTTCGAGCCATGCACGGAAGCATGTCAGTTGAAACAAAGTAAAACAAACATGAGTGAACACATGAACCCGCCCACAACTTTCGAGCCATGGCCTCGCTACGGATGTGCATGAGGCCGGGGAGTCGGGAGCCTCCATGCTTGGCGAAGCCATAGGCGTCCAAGACCTTGACGCACGCCATGCTGCGATGCCCAGATGCAGGCAAACTTTGCGGGATTCTTGGAAAGCTCCTCCCAGGTAATGGTGCCATAGGCTGCATCTGCAGTGAAGCGCATCACTACGGGTTGTGCTCGCAAAGCCTGAAGAGAAGGAGGAGGCTTGCCGATAGCGAAGGTACCCTGAACCCGAGTAGAAAGATTCGGAGGGTCGCCACCAACAGTCACCATGTGAAAGTTTTTGTGCTGAAGCTTTCCAAGAACAGTACCAGGCACAGGCCAGACGGTGACATCATCTGAGGTACCGTCAGGAGACCAAGGGCTTCAAATCTAGCCTCGTAGAGCAAAGTGAGGGAAAAGTCCGCCCCATCCGCATCGGCCCGCTCACCTGCAACCTGGTCCCAAAGCTCGTGAGCGACCTCAGCACTAAAGTCCAGGCTGGGATCGAAACCCCAACAGCCGAATCCAAGAGCTCGCTCATGTCCTTGGCGGTTTCTATGAAAGCCAGGCCGCCCCTGGCCTGCCAGACATCGTGCTTGAGCTTCCAGGAGTGCTGCTCGCTCGGCATCCTGGTCCGCCCGACGCTCATCATGACGATGGATGTTGCCTCGTCTGCGGCGCCATCGCTTCTTGGGGCCCTCGCCCGTCGAGTCCTTTGGCGGCGTCCTTTCTGCTGGGGCGTTCCAGACTTCATCTGCGCCATCCAGAAGTCAAAGAGACCCGCCTGACAGGCTGCGCAGGCTCCTCAGTCCAAGCCTCGGTCGTGTAGTCCTGAAAGGTAGTGGGCTCATTCTTGTAATCCCACCAATCACTCCAAGACCAGGAGCCATAGCATCCATTAGCAGTCCCCGCTGAGTCCCACTGGTCGCCGCCATCATGCCAAGTCGAGGCGCCGTGGCCCCACCAATCATCAGTTCTCGAAGCCGGAAGCCCACACGGTAGTGCCGGGCCGCCCAATCTCGGACAAGAGTCTGAATGATGTCCTGACACTTTCTGACATCGCCCTTCGTGATGGGTTTCGGGAAGCCCCGCTGCTTGCGTCGATGCGCCGCCTTGCCACCAGGGCCTGGATGCGAAGCCTCGCCTACACGCATTCCAAGCCACATGTCATGTCTCATCTCACACGAGACCACCTCAAAATCGTACGCGGTGACGTTGGCACCACTAAAAAGCTCGTCGACGAAAGTGCCACGCCGAGGCATGGGAACATCGCTGAGCACTGGAAAACCAAAAGAAGAAGTCCAGGAAGTAAACCCATTGCACATGAAAATCATCCAGACTCCATGGCACAAAATGCGCCACCCAAGCATACCACCTGCAGATCCATGGCCCGAGGCACGGGCGATCGCAGAGAGAGGTGAAAGCAGGGGCCCCCGAAGGGCCGGTGGAAGTCGGGCGCCAACGCCTCTTAGTCTCTGCTCTCGGTCCTCGGGTCCGGTCCCGCTGTTGCTTGCCCCAATGGGTCTTGTTGAATCTTTTGGAACTACCACAACAGTCAGCTGTTCGACCCATGCCGCAAAGCAACACCATCCCAACCAAGCCCCCAGCAATGGAAGCCACTTCGATTTTCCTGCGGTCATGCCGTTGCCGTCGAAGTAGAGCTTTTCTGGCACTCCGCTTGACCACCGAGGCGGTCCTTCTCATCTGAGTTTGTCGAAAGCCGTGGCCATCATACCCACAATGATGATCACGAGGAGCTGGGCGCTAAGGCCGCCGAGCAGGACCACAAAGGCAGTCGAGATGCGGAACCATAACATTCTTGGCTGGGACCCCCTCATGAAGCCGTGCTCGCCCATGAACACAGCAAAGAGGAAGCCGCCTGTGCATAAAGAAATCGTCAAAATTGGTTGCTTTTGTGCGCTTCGGCCTGTGGGGCCAAGGGAAGGGGTAAGGAGGGTTGGGACGGTTTGCACCGGGGAGGGGTGGGGGGGGGGTGCCCGCCAACCCCTTCCCCCCCCCTTCTTTTGCATGGGCCGCCAAAACCCCTGCCCCCCCCTAACCCCCCCATGACAGGCCGAAGCCGAAAAAACAACCCATTTTGTTGTTTTTCACCGACCCAAATAATTAAAGGCACGCGTTTTGGCAGCGTGTCCCTACCCCTACCCCTGCCCCTAGCCAACCCCCCCGCCCTTCATGGTGCACAAAAACAACCAACCCCTACCCCGACCCCTTGCTTCTCCTTTTCCCTCCGTCTCAAGCCAGAACACTACGGCACTTGCTTCTCCCTTTCCACCCCTCCCCCACCGTCGAAGCCCAAAAAACGTAAGCAGTCTACTCCTGCTAGTCAACCCGCTCCAAGGCCCCCAACCCCTCCCCAGCCCCTCCCCAGCCCCTCCCCAGCCCCTCCCCAACCCCCGCAACCCCCGCAACCCCCCCAGCCCCGCCTCGGCCCGCCCCCGACCTAGCCCACCTAGCCTTCCCCCAGTTCGCAGGGCGTCGCTTGGACCTTTCCTCAGTTTCGCGCAAGTTCGTGGCACCTCCTGAACCCCAAAGCCCTTGCACGACCGGCCGCTGCCCGACTCCCCTTACCTTGGGGGTCGGCGGCAGCGGCTTCAGCCCTTAATCGGGCAGCGCTTCGCTGCCCTGCATGGACTGAGCTATGGCTCAGACGAATGAGCTTCGTCTGCGAAGCAGAAGCCACGACCGACAGTGCCGCCGACCCGCCCCGGACCCCGCATCATCGGACCCTCGTTTCTCCCTCGGGCCGCGCGGGGCCTGGCCCGAAGGCGTCTCGGAACGCGCACGCGTTTTGCAGCCATTCCCCGCGGTGTGGCGGGTTTCGGGGCCGCCGTGGACGACCCCAGGAGGCGAGCCGGCGAGCATCATGAGCCCTCGGGCGCCCGCAACCGGCGCCGGCGGCGCGACGTGGGCGCGAAGTCATAACTCCCAAGTTTTTGAATGGGTTGCGGAAGCCGCCAAAGGGCGCGCATCATGAGCATCAGCGGGGTCCGGCGGACGGGGGGTGCGGGCTACATGCAGGGCCGACGGGGGCTGAGAGCCTACGATCACCCACAAGTTGCGCACTTCGGGCCTACGTTGCACTTATCTATATACCGCGGGTTTCTGACAACAGCTCGCGCTGCCCGCACCTGGGCGCAGCCCCTAAATATCCTCAACCCTCTTTGAAGCTGTCCTCACCCTCCACTTGGACCACGATCAGTGGCTTGTCGCTGGGGCCGGCGACGCACTTGAAGGGCCAGAGCTTGATGTCGGACTGCACGATGGGGTCCTGGAACTTGCGGCCGATCAGGCGCTTGGCATCGAAGACCTCAGCCATTGAAGCAAGGCAGCAGGGAAGCACAGCTTGCGCTGCGCAAGGTCAAAACGGATTCCCAAAAACTGTTCTGGGCGCAGACTGCTGGCAGTGTTTTCCGGGTTTCGTGCAACCTGGTTCTTTGCGGCATCGCCAATCAGGCCTGGGACTGGCGAAAAGGGCCAAAGAAAGCAACAAGTGTTCCAACATAGGCTTGGATTCTCTTTGTGAATTGAAGCTTTGGGGGGCATGCCACTGAACATATAAAACAGACCCAAGAAGCGCTCGGTGTCCGTGAAGGCCACGTAGGACGGGGTGGTCCGGTTGCCCTGATCGTTTGCGATGATCTCGACACCGTCGTTCTTCCACACGCCGACACAGCTGTATGTGGTGCCAAGATCCTCAGAGTGCCGCATCAAAGTAAAAGGTTTGGTTGCGCTTGACCTGGCGCCCTTGGGCACAGTGACTTAACGAACTAACTTCGGACTAAGTAGGCCTAGGCCACCCTCCACGAAAGAGTGGACAAAATCAGGGTTCCTTTTGACCCCCACCAGCCACTCTAGATTCGCCGAGGCCGGAGGCCAGGGAGGGGCGTTTAGATCGAATCCAGAAAACATCAAGTGTAAGTAGACTATTTTAGAAGGTACCCCCCCCTCCATGCCACTTTCTCGATGAAGTGGGGGGTTAAGTAGGAGCACCTACGATTTTGACGTTTGTGTCGCCGGTTCCTCCAGGCTTTTGGGCTCGGGTCTCCTACTTTTGTCCCGTCTTCGCTTCTTTGTTGGGTTCTTTTTCCTTCGCTTCCCTCTGCATGGCCTTCTTCTTCCATGCTTCTTTGCACTCTTTTTCCCCCCTGTCCCCCGTTTTGGAGGCATGACTGCACCAAACACTCTATCCTGAACCCTGGCCCTGGAGAACATTTATAACCGATTGCTGGCTGCGGGCCCGCACAACGGAACTCGGAAGCGGCTCCGAGGCGGCTCTCCGGCAAGCGGATAAATTATCGGCGCTCAGACTCTAACGGCTGCTTGTCCAGTTGAAGCCGGCAGGAACCTCCCACAATGCGGAAGCCGAGTCTCAATTCCGATGGCGGTCTTCTTGGCCATGGCTTCGAGTGTGAATGGAAGATCTCTGCTGCAAAATTGAATTGGCTGCAGACGTTGAGTCAGCAACAAGGGAGCTCGAAAAGGAGATGTCGAGAGCAGACAAAATCCCAGGTACCAGGAAATTCCACGAAAAATAACGGCCCAACAACCCCCGCTGATTTCGCTGACGGGAAGCACCATGTCCTGGACTCCAGCTAGCAATAGAGGTATGCTCCTACTGTTGCTGTTTTCTCGCGCGCCGACGACTTGCCGGAGCTCTTGGGCCCGGGCTTTGTGGCAAGGGTTGCCGCACTTGTCGCCTTGAGAAGCGGCGCGAGGTTTTGGAGATTTGGTTTCAAGGTCATTCAAAGTTATGGGCCAAGGCCTAGGCCCTCGCAACGGTCCCTTAAGGCACGGTACAGGCCCCGGATTCAACGGGAAGGTCCCCAAACACTCATCCTTGATGCTGTCTACTTGCTGAGTCCCACGGACCGAACGAAACTCCATGAAGCCCGGCCCGGGCTAAAGGTTGCTATCAACTTCCGAAGAACCGGAGTTCCTGCTCGCCGAAGCAGCAAGCTGAACCCGCACGATGAATCTTCCAAATCCTTTCCTAGTTCTGAGCCCTACAGCCGCTACCAGAGCTGCGAGTACGGACGGCAGGGAGCACGACGCGCAACATAAACTCAGAGCCTTTGGGCGTGAGTCAGAATGGGAAGGCCGCAGCCCTCTGAAGGGTTCTTATAGCCAGAGTTAGGTTCCCGAGCAGGTCTCCAAGCTCCTCATCAGGAGCTCCATGGACGGCACGGCCTTAGCGCTCCGGCACTTGCGATCCCGAAACTCTTTCTTTCTTCTTCCACACAGCCAAAGGAGAAGGCGGTCCCCTTCCCCCCGCGCCTCAAACACGTCCTGGTCTCTCGGCGCTTTCTTTCTCTCTCTCTCTCTGTCTCTCTCTCTCTCTCTCTCTCTCTCTCTCTCTTTGCTTTCGCCAGGGTTATGGTGCAGCTCTCTCTCTCTCTCTCTCTCTCTCTCTCTCTCTCTCTCTCTCTTCTTCCCTCTATCCCTCTCTCCATCTCCTTCTCCTTGCCTTTGTCATCTGGCCTTGACATGGGGGGGGGGGCAGTCCGTGCGGAATCGAGCGGGTTGGGGCCTAGAGCCTTGATTGCGGAGAGAAAACATAACTCAGGGGCTGCCGTCTTCCTTCGGTTCGTCGGCTCCTTTTCGGACCTCCTGTGACAATCTCGCTCGACTTCAGAAAAGAAAGGACGTAGACGAAGCGGTCACCAAGGATCGTGGTTGCTGAATCCCCAACAGTCAGAAGTACCGTGAGCATGGACGCCAGGAACAGTCTGTTAAAGCAACACTAGCATGATGAGCACGACGCGTCATCCTTTGTCATAGCACATCACAGTTGCAGTCGCAAGTGCAGCAACGACAATGGAAGCAACAACCAACCCAAAGCCCCCAAAGCTAAACACAAATGCACAAGGAATGGCTTAATCCCACCTACGAAAGCAGGAAAGGCGGTTGTTGACCTCTCGTTGCGCAGCGAAGATGTTCTGAGCTTCCCACCGCTGTCTTTCCAACCATGGCTTTGCCAATTTCCTGGAGAGAGACTTTCGCAGGACAGTCCATCCGGAAACGCTAAAAGTGTCTGCGTTCCGGATCTGAGCACGCTTTTCAGAGAGCCTACTTGGCCAAGTAGGGCAAGATGCAGTTTACCGCGAGGCTGCGTTAGGCCAAGGGATTCGCAGACAGGTACTCACCACCTGGTTACTTCAGGGTGCCATGCGGACCCAGAAGTAAAGAACCTTGAAACTCTGACAACGCAAGAAACTTTCGAAGACCGTCCCTGTCCTTCTGATGGTTCTTGACATGGTGCTCCCTGAGCGTTAAGCGTGAAACTTGTAGTCTCTGGCTTGGCAACTGGAGGGATCCCCCGCCGCCGCAGCTCCTCGAACTACGTGAAATCGCGACCCGAAGGCACCCGAGACGGAATTGGTCTAAAGCAGCTTGGAGCATCACTATCAGTGTCAAGGCACTCTTGGAAGCCCGGGATCGTAGCCAAGCACCCCATCATTCGTGTTGGTTTGTAATGTGAGCTTTGTGGAGGCAGTTACGATTTTGGCTGTTGTGTCTGCACATTCGATTTCTCTCGAAGGCGAAGTTTAAGTCTCTCGCTGTTGCTGAAGCCTGCACCTGTTTTACTCCTTAGTTCGCACGCGGGCAAGCCAAGTGATCGCAGCATCGAAGGATGCCGCCGTCAGATCGCCAGTGGCGATCTCGAAAGCATGTCGAGAGAGAGGGACGATGAAGAGCTGGTCCTCTTTGTGCAAGTAAAGAAGCATTCAGAGGCTTCCAAAGGTCCCTATGCGGCACCACCCCAAGTCCTCAAACCCTGTCCTTACTTCGCCACTCTTCTCCTCCCTTTGGAGCACCAGCCCTGGCTGCAAGCTGTGTCAAGAACTGGCGGCTGTGCTCCTGGAAGGACAACTTCGCTGTCGAGTCGAAAGCCGGCGCCGGAAGCGCGGGGAGAGTTTGGGGGGGGTTTTTGTTTCTGCCCCCGGGATTTCGGATCTTAGCGCCTGTCGCTGGCAGAAACTGCTTCGAATACTCTGCGGCATGCAAGGAAGCTCAGATGCTGTGCTTAAGACTCGCACCCCGAAAACATCTGGGTGAAGATCTCATGCGTAAGATTTTTTGAAAACTCCTGGTTCTGATCAAAACTTCACCCGGAAAGAAGGCAAAAAAGAGCCACTCGACAAGACAAGGGGCCACAGGGACCACACCATCCAGCTCGCCGTGGATGATCAAAGTGGGTGGCCACGCGCCTGCAAGCTCCTCGCTCGCAGCCTTCAGCGCTTCCAAAGGCTCGGCAGATACCCAGAGCTGGCGATCGCACCAGAGGACGAACACCTTCTTTCAAGAAGGCTGTTGGCTGTTGGGGGCTGTCAAACATGACTCGGACTCGGCTCCCTTGCAACAGCTTTCATCGTGGATCAAGATCCACGCAAAGCAATGCGCGCATGTAAAGTAGGTACATGCAGCGCACAAGACCTTCGAGCGCTGCAAGCATGGAAACAAACGGACGGAGATTTCATGTGTAGCGGCAGAAGAAAGCCTCTCTCAGACAAAATGCTTTGATGTGCCTATTGCTGTGTCGCGAACCGGGTCTTCAAAGCTTCACCGGCCAGGCCTCGAAAAACCATGCGAGGAAACTCATCCCACGCCGGACGCCAAGCAAACTACAAGAGAAGGGAGACCTTAGCTGTTCTTTGGGATCGACAAAGCGGAGAACTTGAGGAATAGGATTACTTTCGGTCACTTGAAGTGATCCTGACCTGAACAAACGTATCTGAAAATGAACTTGAGAGCCTCTGGCCAACCAACTAACTCGATCGCCCGTCGCTCGTTCCAGCGCATACTCGTCTAGGACTTTAGATACCAGTAGTGCTAGAAATCATAATCTGGCTGCTACACGGGGGCTTCACAGTCGCACCGCTGCGATCTGCTGGATCCAGGGCCGGGTAGCAGAGCAGCACAGCTCGGAAGCGGATGGCAGAGGCGCCGCGGGCCTTCTCACACCCAGTCGGATTCAAGGAGAGAGGGGGATCGACGCATAACATCGCTAAGCCATGCACGAGGCTAGGGCCTAGGTTTTGCGCGATTGAGGAGCGTCTTTGGAATTTTCCGAGTCAGGTCTCGGATAGCAGATTGAATCTCTCTACAAGTGGTTGAAAGGCTCGGGACTTTGGAGCGGAGTTGCCAGAAGCAGCGCCGCCAGGTGCCCACCAGCTGAAGCACCGGCAATGGAGACGTCAGACCTGGGCTGGTGCCACAATCGGACGCCAACCGCTCCACTCCCCATCCCGCACTAATCAGACCATCGGGTTCACACTTTCTTTCGGATTCAAGCCCCTCGCCACTGCAGCATCACCACAAAAAAAAGATGCATCCTCACAGTATCATCTTCAGTCTGATCATCGTTACCACCATGGCAACCAAAACCACGTTCCTCAAGAATCATCACCATCAGCAGCGGCAACATCACGATCCTCATGATGATCATCACCACCATCACTGTCAAGATTGACGTCCTGCTCCTGCTCCCTCACCATCATCATCATCATCATCGGCAGCAGCAACAGCAACACCGTGATGGCCCTTATGAGCATCATCACACCTCAGCATCCTCCTCATCGTCATTGTCATCTTCGTCGGCACTGTTTCCACAGCCGCACCATGACTGTCAGTGTCATGTTTTCTTTGTCATCATCATGGGCATCATCGTCATCACCGCCATCGCTACTACATCTCCACCATGATCGTTATCGCACTCATCCCTCAACCATGATCACCTTAATCACTGCTGCGAGCAGCTATCTGCTGGGACAGCCAACTGCACTGTAAGAATCTGAGACGATGGGCAAGTCAGCGCCCAATGTGGCCCCGTCCTTTTCGAGCCACTCGAGAGCAGCCTTGCAGTCCTCGGAAAATCTGCCCCGAACACAAACAGTTGGTTGCAACTGTGGAATCGGATCCAGGTTGTGGCTTCTTTTATTGGGTTTTTGCTTGGCTGGGCTTCGATGTTGCCGAATTGGAGCCAAGAAAGCCTGCATGACACGACTGACTTGGCTCACCAAATCAGATTTTCAAGACATTGAGAGCCTCTGTCAGCCTGCACTTGTAGAAACAGAAGATAACATGCCGAATGCGCGAATCGAAAGGAACCTTTGAGATAGAAGCAGTGTAGGCAGGAGGGGGGTATCGTCTCTGTCCTCGAGCTGTACCGGCCACTGTGCACCCCTCCGCCGGCGGTACTCGCAGCTGACGATCAAGAATCCTGCAGCTGCAAGGGCCTGGCACGCGTTAGCTGCGACTTGGAATGTGTCTGCCACTTTCGGCTGCGCAGCCGCGCGCAACGTCCCAGTACGTGAAGCTGGAGCCCCAACCGTCCCAGCACCTGCAAAAGTGGTGCTTGCGGCGAGCAGCGCCTGTGGCCACCGCGCCAGGCACCGCCATGGATCAGGAACCTCGGCTCAGTTTTGGGTTTAGGGCGCTTGGTGGGCGGAGCTTCGGCCGCCGCCGAGGCGCAGCACAGGGTATCCCTTTGTCGGTGCCGGAACTCCCGGCCACCAGACATCGATGGGAGCTTCGAGCGAGGAAGGCCGGATCTGCTCGAGGCGGATGGGACCCTGCGGTCCCTTCCCCGGCACCTGCAAGAAGCTTAGTCAAGTCGAGACTTTGAAGGGGGCGTCTTTTTGGGACGTCTCAATTTTCTTACCCTAGCTCTGGCCTCCTTGAAGAAGAAGTAGAGGTAGGGATGGAGCAGCGTCAGCCAGGGCTGGGCTGGTCGCGGCTGTTTCGTCGGAGCCCACTCGGACTCCAGCTGCGACAGAGCGCGCCGTCGCCGCAGGCTGAGCAAAGCGCAGGATGCCTCGAAAAAACTATGCAAAAAAAAAGCGGCAGGCACTTGAAGCGCAACGCGGCGGATCAGGTCGGCCGTCGCCACGAAACCTCTGACGATTCTCAGCTTCGCAGCTTCACCCGAGGCCCGAGGCACAGAGGAGAGGAGCCAGCAAGGTCGCCAGTGCGAAGTGAAGAAGAAAACGCCAGAAAAACAGCAGGCCTGGCTGAGGCTGGGTTCCGGGATGAAGGATGGGTGCCAGATGTCGGTCTTTGACAACACAAGATGTCGAATGGATGCTGCCGTTACATTCGTCCGGGCTCTGACTCTTGCACGGCACACGCATCCGATTTGCTGAGGTCGAGGCGTAAAACGTGCTGTGGCCAACGACGTAGGTCATCAGCACATCCAGCAAGGGGGGGACTTGCCCGAACCTCTTGTCTAGGTCACCCGTTCGGAAGCCCAAAGCGTGTCAGCCATTTTCAGCCCTTGTCTGTTAGAACTAAACGTGCACGAAGCCGAGGGACGGAGGCGGGATCCGGAAGTGTGAGGCTAAGCTGAGGCAGAGCACGTAGGGTCCAGGCTCTCCAGAAGCGAATTTCCACAAGCCCCACCAGCCGCAGAGCCACAGAAGCCACGTCACGCCAGACTCCATGGCTGGCGCTGCTGGTGCTCGGACTACCGGGCCTACTCTTCGGATGAGTCCGAGAGGGTGGGCTTATGACTCTCGCAAGAGGTTTCGTAAGGAAAGGGCTGAGGGCAACCAACGTCAGGATCCACAAGCTGCCGCTAGCTGCACCGAGCAAACAAACAAAAAAAAAATGATTGACACAACTAAAGCAAACAGACCGACCCAGCCCAGCAAAAGGTTGCGAAAGAGCTGCTAAGACTTCACTACGATAATATAAACCGCACTGCAGGGAGCTTTTTCCGACAATAGGAAATGGCCAATGGCAAGGCCTAAGCTCAGCGAAAAAAACTGGCCGGCCGTAATTGTCAAAATTGATCAACTTCAGTAAACCCCTCGTAGCCAAACGGCCAATGCATTCAATGCAAAGGCAATGTCGGCAAACATGTGTTCCAAAATGCGTACTATGCTAACAGTTAAAAGCATACGGTCCGCTCTGCTTGACAGGCGGCATGCAAAACTTGCAATGCTGGATCCTTTGCGTCGGACACTCCGAACAAAATCTGGAGGTGCGTGTACACTATAGAACACACAACGTCAACAGTTTGACCTCGATGCAGATGCATGCGTTGAGATGAATGAGCGGGGTGCCCGAAACAATGACTGCTATCTACTCACAGCACTGACTGCCTACATACGGAAAATCGACTTAAAATCGAGCATAAGGTTATCACAAAAGTCAAGGACTGTAGGGCTTGGAAGAGTGGTGGAGAAAGATCCGCAACTTCCCATCCTCGGTCCGCTTGTAATTGAAGCTGTACTCAACCTTGGACACATTGCCATCGTCGGCGCTGGTGAAGTAGTAATTACCCATGGCAGCTGCAACGTTGCCGCTGATCTCGATCTGGTGGTTCTCAAAGACAGCAGCGGACCAACCCTTTCCACCATTGATGGCAAAGCCGCCATCCTCCGCATAACCATTCGCAACGTTTGAGTTACCCACAAAGTACGACAAGGCACCAGTCGCATTTGGTCGGAACTGGTTCACGGACGCCAACGTTGGTTTGAAGAGCACGTTGGAGTGGCCATAGCCGTAGAGTTCGGCTGCTGCTGCTCCTGCCACTGCCACGAAGTCGCCACCAGCAAGGTAGGTGTTTGAGATGTTCACGACAGCATTGGCCCAGGCATCCTGCACAGCAAGCACCTCTGCCCGAGAGATGGGCATTTCATAGGGCTTGGAAGAATGGTGGAGGAAGATCCGCAACTTGCCATCCTCGCTCCTCTTGTAGCCGAAGCTGTACTCAACCTTGGACACTTTGCCATCGTCGGCGCTGGTGAAGTAGTAATTACCCATGGCAGCTGCAACGTTGCCACTGATCTCGATCTGGTGGTTCTCAAAGACAGCAGCAGACCAACCCTTGCCACCATTGATGGCAAAGCCGCCATCCTCCGCATAACCATTCGCAACGTTTGAGTTACCCACAAAGTACGACAAGGCACCAGTCGCAGTCGGCCGGAACTGGTTCACGGATGCCAACGTTGGTTTGAAGAGCACGTTGGAGTGGCCATAGCCGTAGAGTTCGGCTGCTGCTGCTCCTGCCACTGCCACGAAGTCGCCACCAGCAAGGTAGGTGTTTGAGATGTTCACGACAGCATTGGCCCAGGCATCCTGCACAGCAAGCACCTCTGCCCGAGAGATGGGCATTTCATAGGGCTTGGAAGAATGGTGGAGGAAGATCCGCAACTTGCCATCCTCGCTCCTCTTGTAGCCGAAGCTGTACTCAACCTTGGACACTTTGCCATCGTCGGCGCTGGTGAAGTAGTAATTACCCATGGCAGCTGCAACGTTGCCACTGATCTCGATCTGGTGGTTCTCAAAAACCACTGCAGACCAACCCTTGCCACCATTGATGGCAAAGCCGCCATCCTCCGCATAACCATTCGCAACGTTTGAGTTACCCACAAAGTACGACAAGGCACCAGTCGCAGTTGGTCGGAACTGGTTCACGGATGCCAACGTTGGCTTGAAGAGCACGTCGGAGTGGCCATACCCGTAGAGTTCGGCTGCTGCTGCTCCTGCCACTGCCACGAAGTCGCCACCAGCAAGGTAAGTGTTTGAGATGCTCAGGACAGCGTCGGCCCAGGCATCCTGCACCAAAAGCACATCGTTTGCTGAGATGGCCATGCTGCCACTCCCTTCCTGAGAGTCCGTGAAATCCTGCACCAGCACTGCCACAGCAATTGAGACACCACACGTCACCAAGGCCAATAGACCCATGCAAATCATGCCACCCATCAGCCTCTGGTTGGTCTTCTGTAATGCAAGAAGATCTTTGGAGAAGTCATTCGATGCCTTGTCCACTGCAGTGTTGGAGACGTCATTGGCCGCGTCCATTGTGGCTCTACTCTACACTCTACAGAAGAACGTGTGTGTGAACGTCCGAGGAGAGACAGCTTGAGCCCAAATGGCTGCAGCCGCGTGCTAGCTAGAAGCCTTCCCCAGTCTCGGCACTCAGGGCCAACAAGCCAAGCGGTTGCCGCATGTTCAGAACCTTGTCCAATCAAGCCCAGCAGAATCGTGCTCAACCCTCGCCCTAGCACCCCGAAAGTCGGAAAATCGAAACGCCCGGGCGCCCTGCCAGATTCGACGGAATTGCTTCGGCCACAGCTTCTCCGCTGCGCGCTCCAAGCGCGCCCTGAGGCCGCTCTCGGCTCTCGGCCAAAAAAGGGACTGAACCTTCGAGTGCTTGGACAAAGTCCGAAGCAAAAGCCCCGGAACGAGCCTTTCGGACACTCTCGAAAGGAGACCTGGCCCTGGCCTCCAGTGACTGATCTCCTCGGCCACTCGCTGCCTCGGGCGAACCGGAACACGCACTCCCGGCTCTGCCAGTAGGGGGGCATACTGGCTCGAAGAACGCGAGCAGCTCACTACAAGTACGGCAGAGAAGCATTCAAAACTGATCTTCGGCCCTTCACCGAAGGAATTCACGACAAGGCAACGCCCCTTCGTCCCTTGGCAAAGCCTAAACCAAACCCGCGGCAACAGAGAACCGGGCTGCTGATGCTGCACTTTGTACTCTTGCATCCGGCGTTGCGCCTGCAGGTCTCTGCAGGTCAAGCAAAAAAGCCTTCCACCCGCATGCAGGCTTGAACAAAAAAACAACTCCCCGAAACTTGGGCTGTTCCGGATGCAGAGGGCTCCGGTACCTCTTCATCCATCTTGCGCTTCTTCCTGGCACGGACGCCGCATTAGGCCCATGAGGTCTTCCGCTTTGCCCAGTGCTTCCCTGGATTCCAGGGTTTGATGCCGGGCACCACAAGCCACAGAGAACAGGCCAAAGGCACACAGCGGCCAGGTTTCGCTTCTCCTCCAGGGCGGCCCTCTTCTCTGCATCCTGGACTTCAAGATCTATCCCAGAGCAGTGAGCACGGCAACAACATGTGCCCGTAAAGCTCCTGTATCCCCTCCTGTCTTTACTCCCACTTTGTAGCGAGCGCCGGATCCGTGGACTTGCAGTGGTAGCATTGCTTTCGAGGGTGAGGGTGAGGAGGCTTACATGAGCCAGATCACATGAGATGGAGCCTTATAGCGCCGAGAATGGGAAGGCAAAAGTTGTCAGAGATGCCATGGAACGGCTGAGGAACACCAGGATCTTTCGCTTTGATTTCCTACCATTGCTGTTGTTCTAATCGAGCTCCTGGATAGAATGGGTCCCTCGTCAGGCTGGCGTCGTTGCGCATCAAGCCCGTAATTGGGACTCAGTTGCAGCCGTCAAGTGGTTCACAAAATGGGGAGATGGAGTCTCACATCATAAGAACAAGCTCTGAACATTTCTGCAGAGACAGGATGGGAATCCTGCTTCCGGCAAAACGAAATTATGGGGGGGGGGTGGATAGTTCGCTGCAGAGATGTGTCTGGCTTCAAGTAATTTAAAAAGTGCAAAGCAAGAAGAAGTGGGCCGAAGACAAAGCGGCCCTACCAAAAGCTAAGGTGTAGTAGGGTTTAGGTAATGCAAACCAGAACCAACCATCAAACTTATGTCGGTGGCCGTCCTGCTGAACGGCAAGGTCTTCCGCTCGCCTGGCTTAGGACGTTGGTCTTTGCATGCTCGAATGCCACATCCAAAAGCTCAAGACTACACTGGCTGCAGACCCCTCCAACCACACACACAACCTACCCAAAGCACGCAAGTCTAGCGAGAGCATGCCCTGCACCAAATCTTCAATAGCTCGCGTGAGGAGCATTTTGAGCCGCTTCTGCTGCTCCTCCAAGGTCCGGCAGCTGTTGCACTTGAAGAAAGCCATCTTGGCAGGCCTCGCAGACTTCCACTCTCAGTCTCTTGGAAGCCTCGTTGCAGCTTAGAGCGGTTGCCAAGACTTCGGGTCTGCTGTCCTGTCGCTCTGCTGGGAGCATGCAGCCGGCCTACGAGACTCAAGTCAAGCCAGGCTGCAGCGACCAGAGACTCGTGAAGGGCTCAATCGTTTGGGCTTGTCGTCGACTTCACAGCGGACCAAGCAAGAATTTGACAATCCCTCGACCCCTGTGGGCCCCCGGACGTCACATTCCATCCCCGCTTCTTCATCTCATCCCAGAACCTGTCCGGTGGATAGACCTGCGCACCGAGGGCCAAAACGTCAGCTCTACAACCTGACAGCGACACATCGCCACTTCCACCAACCCTCCTCGCTGGAGACTTCAAAGCTCTCTCTGCCCGTGGCAATCACGTCCCACCACAAGTCCCGAGTCCCCCAAAGCTCTGGCCACTGAAAGCCGCATGAGCCCCGGGCTCTGCGGAAGTCCGGCGGGAAGCAGTCGTAGCAAAGGGATGTCGGACACTCAAGGCCTCGGCGTGGAGACAGAATGGCGATAATAATGGGCAGCGCCGCGGCACTCAAAGAAACAGCAATGCATTCCCTGACTCTGCCTTTCAGTGCCGAACACAACTTGTGTCACGCTGAGGGGCCTGTTGAGGTGTAGGACCTTCCACACCCTCTCCTGATTGGAGGTTTCGTAAACATGGTGGTATCTCATTTAAGGATCCTCATGGTAAGGCGGGACCAGAGTCCCATAATGTTCCGAAACTCCCAGAGTGGTGCTTCCCTTCTGTCCAGGCTCCCGCGCAGTGGATGAGCATCCTGAGATGCTGGCAACACGGGGCACGGCAAGACAAGGTCCGAAAGGAAAAGAGAGAAGAAAGAGAGAAAGAGAGAGAGAGAGAAAAAGAAAAAGAGAGAGAGACGACATGATTGTCAAACGTGCGCTCGCGTCTCGGTCGCCCTGCCCTTTGTCTGACTCGCTTCACGACGACTCAGAAAGCCTGGCTTCGCGCGATGCTTCTAGGGCCCCTTCTCCTCTTATGGCGCATGGACAATCGACACGATACGATCAAGACCTGGATGATAGCAGTGATAACAAGTATCATCATGATCATCACCATCATCATCATCATCATCAGCAGCTTTGTCGTACTTAGAAACAGACGCGCTGAAGACAATCCAAGAAACCATGCCCATATAGATCACCTGCCACCAGATGCAGATGAAACGAGCTACCATCGCGCACACCGTCACCATCACAACGACCAGAGTCGTCTGTGGTACCATCGACTACCCACTCAGTCACGATCATTGATCATCATAGGCATCGGCATCCTTTTCACATCGCCGGCACTGCCGGTCACAACGGCTGCAACAACAAGGCGAAAGGCGAAAGGACAGGCAAGGCCGGAGAGGCGGAGGCTTCGCTCGACAAGGAACAGAACAAAGAACCGTGTTTCTGGAACTACGCAGAGACTATTATGCCACTTTGTCACATTGGATCAGCTCTGCAAGAAAATCCCTGCATAGCTGCCCAGGTGCCCTCCAACTTGGTTGGCACTCCGGCCTTGGCGGTCGAGGATTTGGGGCTTTAGGATTGTAGGACCAGTTTCAGGGTCATGGGGACTGGGGTGGAGAGCTCGGTTGCTGGGTTTTGGAGGTTGGAAGACTTTTGTGGGCGGGGAGTTGAGAGTGAGGGGGTCGAGGGCCATCAACTTCAAGTTGTCAGGGTGGCAGTACAATCCCTGGCTGCCAGGGACGTGTTGATCTAATTAAAGCTCACATCAGTGAGGAATGGCCTTCCGCAACGAGGCTTGGTGGTTCACTCAGTAAGGCTGATGATTCGGAACTTTCCTACCGTGAAGTGTCAACCCTCAGCGGCTTCAGCCTACGCTCGCCCGAATCTGAAAGAAACAGCACATGAAGTAGTATAGCACTTCGATCTTGCAGCCCACAAAAGACCAGAACCTGTCGTTTCAACTGGACACCCAAACTCTCCGAAACGGCAGCACTGGGCCCATGGCTGCAGGAGCTGCAGTAGTGCCAAGGGCAAGTCTGGACGGCGTTCGCGGGAAGGGCCGGGGGTCTGGGATGTGGGCATTCGCGCTGTTGGAAAGGGCAAGCTGGAACGCTTCCTCTTATGCTGAGGGGCTTCGCCCTCGACGTGTACCAGTCTGAAACTCGAACGTTAATAGCACTGGCCACAGCCTTACTTGACTAATCGCCGTGCAACGGCACAAACAAGAAGAGCAAAGCTCCAAGTCCGTACGACTCGGCTTGAAATTTCTGTCCCTGAAACCTTTGCGGCGACAACAGTCTGAGAAAGAACTGCCGGGATGCGCACCCACTTCTTTGGAGTGTGGCCGACGCATTGCACGTGATACCTGAGCTCCGGTATCCTTGTAAGCTCTCATGCCGGGTACCTTGACGGAAGCTCAACAAAAACTCTGACTCTAGCAATGTGACCTCTTTGAACTGCAGGTTCTACACTGTACGTTTAAATCTCTTTCATGCATTACACCAACCAACAGGTGGGAAGTGCTGTGAGTCAGGCGTTTGTTGTCCTGACATATAGAGCAGCAGAGACTGCAAGATCATGACCATGATTGTGCTCATGATCATATCAGGGTCTTTGGGTTCAAACTGAGCTGGAGCAGAGGGAGGGGGAGCTCAGATTCCAAATCGACGCTGAGCGGCGACATTGGACAACATGCGCACTGCTGCAAAGGCCGTTCGTCCTGCGAACGCTGCGGTTTCAAGTTGGAACTCAGAAAGCCTAAACATCCAAGAAGCCGCACTGGGGCTTCTTAGCTGCGTGAGTCTCTACCGTGCGCTCTCACAAAACAAACCAGGGACAGCCACGTGAGGCCATGTCAGAACATGCACAGCTACCGGTTCCTGAGTCGAGCAAAACACAGAGCAGACCGTGAAGCCATTCAATCCTTGACGCCGCAAGTGAAGCACTTCGGGATGTGCTTCAGCTTGACCACATCAGTCTCGGGATGCGCGGCAAGGGGACCCCCCAAGCACCGCATTCGAACATGCCTCCAGGCCCTCCAGAGCTCGTGCTTGGCCAATCGTCACTCGGCATCGGGCCTTCCTTTGCGACTTCATCGGCGCAGTGCAGAACTCCTCGGCCTCAACAGTGTCCACAGCTCTGCCACCGCCTTTTGTCTCAATTGAACTTCATGAAATCGGTAAAATCATGCCTCGGTTAACTGATTCCGGGAATTTGGCCAACCAAGCAAAATGCTCTTGCTGGCGATGATCATGGGCCTGTAAATACAGTTAGAAGGGCTGCAGCTTTAAGTTCCAGCTTCTTGAAACCCGTCCGGTAAACCCATAAACAAAAAGAACTGAGCCCCTGAGAAACGAAGGGGCCTGCACCACCCTCAACCAGCAGAGGACAAAACACTTTCCTTTGCGAAGCTGCCACAAGGCGGGGCCGGGGCGAATGTGAGCTTGCGCTTCACGACTCGACCGGAACCGGACCTGCCATCGGGAGCTTCTGCAGAGCACTCGTGCTTGCAGAGATGCAGAGAGGATCACTACACAGCCCAGGGCTCTAGGGACGGATCCCACTGCTGCTGTGACTTTTCCTCACAGTGCAGACCAGGAAAATGAAGAGACTTCAACCCCCCATCGACAACCTCACTTCTTGAGAAACTGATACCACCCAGTAACCATCCTTCAAAATCTGCCATCCTCTCTTACTGCTGCGTATGCGATCGTTCCTTAGCCTGTCAGGGATCGATGTAGGAGTTTGGGGGCCACCGACGTCCAACAAAGCTGCTGGAAGGCCGGCCCCGCCCAGAGCTTCGGAGGGCCGGAGGGCTTCCACACTCAGTACTTCTGAGCCTCATCACATCATCTAGCTCCGGAGGAGGCGCTACCTGACGGGTTTGTTCTCATACCAGTAGTTGCGTGTTCAGGCCGCAACACGGAATGCCGCAGACTTCAGCAAGCCCCAAACATCTGCGAAAAGCAGGCCCCATGCCGGTGCCTCCTCCTTGGGTCTCCTGGGCCTGATCGTGCCGATCCGATAAAGTCAGGTTCAGCTCTCCAAAGCTTTAAGTCATCAAACTCTTGGGAAATGAACACCTCGCACGTGCCAGCAGAAGCATGGACCGCGGAACCAAGTCAGCCCGTGCGACACTTGAATGGGGCTCCTCACACACACACACATACACATTGGGATGTACGATGATCACCGCCTGTGATTGAGCTCAGAAGTCTCTCAGGCTTTGAGCATCTAAGAGATCAGCCCACAGATACAAAACACGTCAGCCTTCGCTCAACAACTCTGCGCCTGGAACAGCCTGAAAGTTTGAACCCCATGGGCATTTGGGGTCAGGTCCGTACCTTGGCGGCCGCAGAGGAGAGTGATCCTTCACCTGAGCGAGAGAGGCCGAGGGCCAGGGACCGCCGGGCGGGATCCTGAGGCACTCTTCGCCATAAGCGGCGCGGTGCCCCCACATTGCGCAGCCATCCAGCCCGGCTGCGACGAAGCGTGTTAAGGACATGCCCTGTACCCAGCAAGCGACCGAAACCAGGAAGTAGCCGCTAGCCGCTGGACGGAATGACTTCGAGAAATGAAACTTGAACAATCAACGAGCCGTGTGACACCATCGCAAACTCGCTGCGGGCTCAAAGCCATCCCCAACCCAACTTTACTCGGAGTTGCAACGTCCCCAATTGCGAAAACCATCAAAACCCTGTGACAGCGTAACATGCGCCGGCGCTACATTCCAAACCCCGGCAAACCAACCTAGAATTTGCGCAGTTGGCGTCCCGTTCTACGGCTGTGGATCTGACGAGGATGATGGTGTTGTTGATTTCCGCGCCGAGGTTTAGGTTGAAGTTGAAGATGTTGTTGATGGCACTGTTAAGTTTCACACTACTAGTAATTCGGTTAATTGATGTTCATGACGTTCATGTTGATGCTGATGCTCATGTTCACGTTCGTGCTCCTGCTGATGCTGACCCGTGTTGACGACTGCGACAGTGATAAAAACTTCCGCTACGATTCAAAAGACCTACGAGGCTTACCAAAATGTTGCGTGCATAGACAGGTTAGCATAGCCATCAAATCATGCTGGCATTGCCCACCTCCGGCATTGGAGCGCGCTTGCGCTCGAAGTACTCCTTTCCGGTGGAACCATTGCAAGGTGCTTGCATAGTCTTGGGATATTGAAGAATTCATGATTTTCTTGAAAGCCGCGCATTCCAAAGATGCTCAAGCAAACTCCGAAAAACCCGAAAGCTTTAAAGCCAGCACGCTCGCCAAGTGGCCTCCAGGTCGAAGCTGAAGGTGTCACCTTCAAAGACCTGTTTCCCCCGCAGCAACCATCGTGAGATCTAACGGCTGGCCTAGACATAGCCGTGTGTGACATGAATACCTGTTCTTGGGCCAAGAAGATCGAAACACTACTCATTCGTGCAAACTCAGGAAGCCGCTCTTTCCGAAAATGTTTAATTGAATTTGCCATGGCAGTGGCCACAAAAAGCGAATCCGTGACATCCCACAGCCCAGCGTCAGAAATCACAACAAATGGCCTCTGAGAGGCAGTAACGTTCATCTGACGATGTCCGGAGTTGGGCTCACGCTGACGGACTTAAATGTCTGGTCCCCCAATGTACGTGATATCCCAAGTCCGGCAAAGTCTGTGCATTTCAAGGACACTCGCGGAATGCCTGAATTTCTTTCCAGGAAAGGCCGTGAACGCGCCTCACCCCCTGCGGCTTCAATGCCCTTTCTCCCCTGTTGTGGGGTTTGTGGTCTTCCGTGGCAAGTGGCTATTGCTCGAGCACCCCTTGCCCACTGCGCAGTGAAAAGCGCCTGCGTTGGCAATCCATATTTTAAGTCGTCTTTCCAGTTTTTGGGATGTTCTTGAGCCTTACCACATAATGCAAGTCTCCGAAGCTTGAGACGCTAGCAGCAAGGACAGTGCTGCTGCGCACAAACTGCATCATCTTTTTCTGTAACTTAGGAAGAAGCTTGGGCGTGTGCTTTTGAAGCCTTCGAAGACATGCGTTGCAAACGATCTTCTGCCCTAGCAAGCGGCACCACTGCCGTGCCCTGCATCAAAGCATGGGCCGTAAACCCTTCTGTCCCGAAGACTCTCGATGCCTGAACAACACAGGATTATCGGACTAACAGTAGGTGCCGCAGCAATATCGTAGAACAAAAGCTCAAGCAATCAAGAGCATCAGGGCCATCGAACTGTCATGCAAATCTCTAGGATGCTTGTGGAATGGAATCGTGAAAGTAACACTGTCGTTGTGGCAATCGGCCGGGCCTTGAAGGCTGACTCTCCGTTGTTCAGGATGCTCATGATCTGTGACCGAGAATTTGGGGAAAGATGCAAGGAGGCACGGCTTTGCTTCCCACAACTTGACACAGGAAAAACTCGTTCAACCTCCCGGTGAAGTGATTCGAAGGGCCCTTCCGCCCTTCCTGCCTCCTCTGCGTCGAGCTGCTCTTCGGGGTCCTCCTTCTCATCGTCCTCCTGATCCTGGCTAGGCCAGGCCCCATGCACCGACATTTGCGGGAGGGCGGGGTTGGAAGTCAGCGGCTCAGGAGCCACCACGAAGGCCGAGAACGCGGTTGAACGATGCTGGACGGTCCTTTCCAGACGACATCCCGATTCCAACAAGAGCTAACAAGCTGATCAATTCCCCTCGTCTGCCCACCGCAGACTCGGACACCGACACTCCGAATCTCAAATCCTCGCCAAGCTAAGCAAGGCACCCTGTCGCCGATGATGTTCTTTTCCTGGTCAGGTGCAACAGACCGGTTTCGTCCTGCACTAGGGCTTCCTGATTTAGGTACCGGTGTTTGCAAATGGCAAACCGCAGCAGCCGCAGTTGCGGATGCTGTAGCTGTGCCTGTTGCAGTCGCGAAAACCACGAAGCAAGGGCCGCTGCAAGCGTAAGCATGACAGGAAGAACCCGTAGTAAGAACACGTAACAAGCACCATCACCAACATCATCATCATCATCATCATCATCATCATCATCATCATCTGAGCTGTTTACCGTAGACTAGTGACTACAGCAAGAAGCAGGCCCTTCCCTGCCCAGTGGCCATCTCGAGCTTCGCGTTCGAGCGGATCAATAAGCGCTCCTCCACTGCCCACTCCTGCGAAAGCTCCGGGTCCAAGGGTCCAAGCTGCAGAGGAGGGCTTTTCTTTGCAAAGCCACGGTTCAAAGCTCCCGCAGCAAGCGGCACGCTGTGAACCCTCTCAGCAAACCGCTGCAGCAAACCCTCAAGCCGGTTCCACAGACTCTGGCAGAAGGCGCAGATGGCACAGAGCCCAGCCTGAATTGGGCGATGGATGTGGACCTGCGTTGTCAGGACCGAGGAGGATGTAACCATCTGGCCTTTACCCCTGGCATTACTCCCTTGTTTTGTTGACCCTGCGAAGGTAGAACGGTCTCCAAGGCTCCACAGATTCCACAGTTCAAGGGCGGATGCCGGCCTGTCTCGACTGACCGATGCGGTGTGCGCGATCAATCGCCTCGAGAAGGCGTCAAAGACGGAAGCAGATAATAAGCCCGATGGGGTCTGTGAATGCTGTGCTTTGGGCTTGCCGGAAGCTGTACTTTGTCAATCTTCATGCACCCAAGTGCTGTACTCTCACCTTCCGGCGAATGCCTAATCATGATCCCAAAACAACAGGCCCCAAGACGAAGCAATGAAGCAAAGGTGCCTGGTGGTCCACGTGCGGATTCCAGTCCTGCTCAGGCCGGGGACAAGATTCGGAAAGCTACCAGCTGCGTGAGCTGAAGACCCTCCCGGGCGCCTGCTCAAAGAGGACGACGTGGTTCGCCGAGGCCAGGTTTACCTGAGAGCTTTGGCTGTGGGTCTACGTATGCTGCTTCAAGCTGGGGAGCTGTTCTGCGGCCACGGCACCCCCAAACCGCCGGCTCGCGTGCTGATCAAGTAGATGAAGACGTCCTGTCGCGGCAAATGTGTACACTGCCCTCAACGGATCCGAAGTTCTTCTTGGATCCACGCCTCATCTACAGCATTGAAGTCGCGCATGTCCAACTCCCGCAGCACGCGGTTCGTTGACTGGGAGGAGGCTTTGGGAGCAGGGATGTGACAAGTGCATCAAGAAATCAAAACCCTTGCTTCCATGGACATTGCCAAGATCTCAACTGCAGCAGTTGCTTGTTGAACCTCTGTACGACTTAGAGTCTGGAAGCGGCAAAAGCTGAATACTAGGAGAAACTCTGGCCTGATCAACCTCATTTCTAGAAACACTTCTCCAAGAGATGATCCTGCGCGACCCCATGTGTCGAGGAAGGCACTCCATCCATGCGCATGTAGCGGTAGCCCCTGAACTTGCAGTACTCCTGCACAATATTCAGGGGTGTGGCTAGCTTTGGGCTCAGCGCTGCAGGGTTTTCGCGACTTTGTAATTTCGTGTTTGGCTCGGTCTCCACTCTCGGCTTCCTAACCTCGAATCCCGACTGAGACACACTGAAATCTGAAAAGAAATTGCGAGCCAATGCATCTGCAGAAGACAGCAGAGCCAGGTGCCTGTGACCGTTTAGCGAAATTCAGAGCAGAGCTGACAAAGAGCTGCATATTCACACAAAGAAACCTGCACCGCTCCGATAACTCCGCCCACAGAAAGTCCCGTCCGAGCCACCCAGCGGCCTCCAGGAGGTCCATGCAATTCTGGTGCTGACAGAAGATCAGCACCTCGCTTAGGCCAAAGTTTTGGTCGGTTTCGCGCTCGAGGATGCCTGAGGACCCCGATGGATTCGAAGACTTCGAATATTCGAAGTTTGAGTTTCCTGCTTGGAAAGCTGCTCATGACGGGAGGCCTTGTGCGGCTGTGGAGTGTCCCAGTCAACGTGCTCCATTCCGTCGAGGAAGCCTGCGTTGAAAGAGTCTGCGAGGCGGGAGATGGGGAGAAGAGGCAGCGCGTGTGACACAGCATGTGGCTCGGCACTCTCGGAGAGTTTGGGCAAGTATCTAGAGCAAGCGCCCTGTCTCGGCTGCAAGCTCGAGACGGACACTATGGGCTTTAGGCGGCAGGGTCTGGCTTTTGCGACCGGTGATGCAAACTCTTCTTGGCCCTCCTGCCTGCGTGCTCCTGCGAGGAGCACAGACCAAAAGAAGTTCAAGACTCGGGAGAGCGGGAAGCCACTGCAGAGGATTCGAGCACTGCACTTCCGCATCCTTTGGGTGCGTTCGTGATCCGAAAACTTGGCAAAGACCTTAAGTTAACAACTGCCCAGTCACAAACCCTGGACGAGCCAAAAACAATGGACAAGGGAGGGCGATGGCCGTTCCAATTACGGATGGGTCCTTGCCACCCTCGAGCTGCATCCGGTGATACTTCATGTCCTCAGGTTTTGTGGTCTTCAAAACCCCAAACCCAAGACTGCTAGCCGCCAGTCGACTTCCTGCTTGCGCTGATGTTGCAAAGCTGCCCTCTTCCATCTAGGGATGCGGAAGGCTTGAGTACCTGAAGCCTTTGCCCCGACTCGAGTGCGTTGGAAGCAGAGAACCAGATGCGCATGATCGCTACTGCGGTAGTCCCTTCACGCCCGAAGCCCGGAACTTCGCAAACGCCAGGGCCACCGACATCCAGAAACAGCGGGCCGGAAGCATCTTGGAGAGCTTTGGAGGCTTCCGAACAGACGTTGGGAACGTCGGGTCGATAGCTTCCCTTCTGCAGGCAAAGATTAAAGTGACCCTCCGGTTATGCGTTCTGGTTCAAATCTTATTCAGAGCGGCTTCGTTCTTTTCACACCAACTCTTCACCCCGAAGCGCGAGCTACGCTTGAAGGGCTTTGGACTTTGCAAGACCGTCAGCCCTGTGAACCCCAAAAGAAAACATCGCGGGATCCTGCCCAACATCCGAAAGGAAGCTACACCGAGGGCAAGGGCTCTTCAGCCAAGCCGACGCAGACTTCCTCTTCACATCCTTATCCTTGGTGCGAGCCTGGCGTCGGCTACGGTTGCCTTCTTGGGTCTGGGTTCTGGGATCCTGTGGGTGAAACGAAAGATTTGGAAAATCCTCGACTGATGTGCACTTCCGAACTAAGTGTCGAGGAAGTGGTCAACCCTGGTCCTTCGCATCATCTGGAGCTGAAGCTCACATGCTAGCAGTGGAACAGTGGTTGCATGAATAACAGTTTCATCTACAATGCCGGAGGAATCATAACCGTACCTTCACAGAAATATGAATTGAAAACATTGCCATTGAATAGCCAACAGCTCTAACGGGTAAACATTACAAGGTATCCACGTCTAATTGAGCGATACTGGCGACGTATAGATCCCTGAGTCGAAATCACTTAACCATGTCTGCCCAGATAGCTATAGGAGTCTCTGAGCGCCATGCATTCCAACCATACATCTACTTAAAACCATAAGAGTACCGAACACCGATTCAAGAGCATGTAGACATATATGCATCACTTGTATGTATGTATGTATGTATGTACTGTTGCGTGCAGAAGCCTCTGTGCATCTTTCTTACGTACCTACCAGTACTTACCGCTCTGCACGCTTGGTTACATCGGCTACAGAGATACCCAGGTCAAGGCAAAGCTCGGGACCCTCTGCCTCAAAGGTCTTGCGCCAGTTGTCGTTGAGGCCCATGTTCTGTGCATGGAGGTGCCTCAGCCGCATAGCCGCATGGATGTGAGCGTTCGGGGAGAGGCCACCGCGTTCGACAGCTGTGGCTTTGATCGGATGTGCTCCAGGAATCACTGAAGGGCATCCTTCCATTCACGCGTGGACCACTTCCGAATACTCGGGGAGGCACGTGAGAAGTGCATCCACGAATGCCAGCTTGTAGCTCTGGCCAATGATCTGCGATGCGAGGCTTCAGGGTCTATGGCTATGGAATGGATACTGCTATACTGTTGACGCAGTCTTTTCTTCACTGCTCAACTTCAAACCAACGCTGCGTTGCATGGGTACAAAAACAGACAGCCCCCAGCCCAGCACAAATATGTGTAGTTCAAGTGTAATACCAATAAACATCATCCACAAGATGAATATGAAAAATGAGTATGTTGTTATGATGACTACAGTACTACTGTTAAAGTTAAAGTATTCTACTTGCGCAAAGCCCGGACTGCCTCTTCACTCACTAGTGGGCCGTCTTTGAGCTGCTCAATCTCCTGTGTTCTGCAGGAACTGAAAGCCGGAAACAGCCATTGGATTTGGTGTCTGCACAGACTCGAAACCGAGACACATGCGAAGGGCGTCCTCTTGGGAGCAGACGCCCATAGACAGCATGAACTCCTCATCTTCCTGCCAGACTATATGTATGACATACTTCAAAACTCTTGCATGCGCCGCACATGCACACTTCCGCCTTCATGTAAGTTCAGTGTGGCGGTGCCAAACCGTTCCTAGAGTTTGGGAAGAAAGGACACATCAGCAAAGACGCTAGAGTATGTTGTAGTAGAGTCTTGTATATTTTAAACTTTCTTGGCAGTTGAAATTCCGTCTCTGAGAAAAGGGTCACAAACGACCATGTTGAATATAACCGAGAGCAGGACATGAAGGAAATGAAGGCGGCCATGCATGCAATGTCCAGCTTGAAATAACCGAGATGATCATGCAAGGAAGCCTGAAATAAACCGATTCGAACATGCAAAATGAAAACGGAAACAACGCCGGACACGAAGGAAATACACGCATTATGCAGCCGCAACGAAGCCGGCATCCGAACACGCAGAACGAAAACAGAACCGAAGCCAGAAAATACCAGAAATTAATGAAATGCAACCGGGTTTGACGCACAAAAACCACCAGCAACAGTAGTGCTGCTAGCCGAAAATGCGTCAAGTATGCAGCCGGAGATAAGCCGGAAAACGTGAAATCAGACATGAAGCCAGGATGCATAAATTCTGCAGCCAACATGTAAAAGGACACGACGGAAATGCATCAATTCCGCAACCACCACTGGAACCGGAAACAAACGAAACCAAAGCGGAAACCAAGCTAGAAATGCAACAACTATGGAGCAACCTACATGGACATACGGAAAAATGCACCTGTTATGCAGCCAAAAACGAAGGTGAGCAGTGTCTTGTTGTGCAAACCGCAGCATATACGGTAGCACCGAATAGCGTATCTTCATTTTTCTCGTACACTGCAGTATGGATAGCTACAGTGTGAGCATTGCCGGCATGCCTCAAAAACAGTGTCCGAGTATGGAGGCACAACACGGATCAAGTATCATAGAACTACATGATTACAAAGTTCTCGCATGACATCATTAGATTTTTACAGCCCTGTAGTGTCATGTTGCTATCGCATTGCAGTACGCTCGTGTTTTCATAATGTTGATACTCTGACACACTGTTCTGGTAGCCGTGGCCTGAGTCACAAGCTTGGGGCAGCCTTTGAAACGAATCTGAAGTCTGTCAAGTAATGCCCTAGATCCATTTGCAGATATCACTCATGTCTCTTCTGGCGCTCAGTCCATCCAACCTTGGACGCCACCGCCAGACGTGGGTGGATGCAAACGTTTCGAAGTCGAAGCTGGGCGATCGGGCAGCTTGCATGAAACACAACGGGTCGTTGCTGGAATGCGGCAGTGTCTGTGCGCAGGATTCGAGCCCAATATTCGTGGCCGTTCTTGGGGCGCTTTCTCCCTCGGCTTACTTGACACCGGCAAATTCAACAGTCTTGCCCGTCCTTGAGACCGGAAAATTTCCACAAAGAACCGTCGCTTCACTGCACCCTCCTTTCAATGGTCTTTTGCAGATCATATGGCCCTCTCTCGCACGCATCTGCTTACTTTCGGTGGTCGTCCCTTACGCACTGAGAATCCAACAGTTACTCAATGCCTCCCCTAAACAAGCTACGAGACTAGAGGGGGCATGACTTTAGGCAATCATCCTGAAGAGCCCCACTTACTAGGTCTTCCTGGCGGAATGCAGCATCAATCAAGGCCACTCTCATGTTGTGAATCTACCTTCTGATGTGTGGCTGACGAAACATGCTTCTGGTACCGCTTGATCTGAGCTGGGTTCCTCATTGTGATGCCAAGCATGCGGAACATCCCAGGCAAGCTGGTGCGAAGCTTAGGCTGAGGCGATGAGCTTCTTGAGGCTCCGAATATCTGCAGCAGCTTTGCTTGTTTCGGGATTCAAGCTCATGGCTTGCAGGCCCTTTTCTGAGCCCCCTGTGCCGACCTCTCTCTTTCTGAAAATCCGAATCCTCCACACAGCTTCTCTAGACTCTAGACTCCGACCGATACGAAGCGAAACAGACTGTAGGTGCATACCTCAAGAAAGAGCTGCCAACCTCTAACTGTGGGGATCCCCAAATCCGAAACAAAAGACCTTACTGCAACTCTGCACAGTGCCTCTGGACATTTGCGTGTTCTTGAGAGAGAGGATCCGGCGGTACCACTGCACCTCGCAACGAAACAGTCTGTGCCTCTTCCGGGTCCCCAAGCTCTCGGAGCCTTGGGCCTTGGGCGGCCTTGGGCGGCCTTGGGCCCCAAGCACCAAGCTGCGTAGCCCGTGGGCCTGGAGTGGAGACATTGGCAGCCAGACGTCGTGGAAAATCTTGGGCGGCAGCGACAGCACCTCCCCATGGGCTCAAAGGCTGGAGGCTCACGGCTAAAGACTCATCTCTCAAACCCACTGGCAACGGCTCACGACAAGAAAGGACCAGCAAGCCAGTCGCCATCGGCATTGCCGTGACTTTTGATGAGTGGCGGCTGCTCTGCTTGACGGGACAGCCTCCTCCTTCTTGCGCCGCTTCATGCTCAGAGCCTCGGGATGTCCACCGGAGGGCAGCACGGTCAGACGGGTTTCGAGTTGGGGCTCTCAGAGCTCCAGCTTCGAAGCTTAGTCTCTGAAGATCCAAGCTGCTGAAGCTGCTCCCGAAGAGCTTCAACCCCAAAGCCGAAAGCTCTCTTCCCGCAAGCATCACACTCGGGGCTTTGGACTTTGGACCGCTCACCAAGGCGTTGGCAAGCAGCCCGCGGATCTTGTCGACCTTCACTCGACGGGGGGTCCAAAGCTCGGAAGTTGAGCCGCCCGTCTGAGCCCCGGGCCATGACCTGGTTGATGCAAGCCTTCTCGGCCTTCCATGTCAGTCCCCACCCCAGAAGCCGAGAGCAATCTGATGGGGATGAAATACAGGGCCCAAAACAAGGCCTGGCACTGGGATGCAGAATTCGTGGGCAAAAAAAATGGGTTCATGCCAGCCTCGAATCGCCTGCGCAACCAGTATTTGTTGTAGGGCGCTTTGAATGTTCGCCCTGTTACCAAAACGCCTCCGCGCGCACACGCAGACACACACACACACACACACTCACTCACTATCTCTCTCCCCTCCTCTTCCTCGTCCTCCTCCTCCGGCGCCCAACTCTTCAGCAAGGCTGAAAGGATGTGCGAAATCCCCCGGCCACTGAAGCTTTGCTTGATGACTGGGGCAATGTGGGGATGTGAAAGCTTTCGGGTTCTATACGCGACTCGGCTCTCCCTCTCCCTCTGTCTTTGATTGCTTCTTTTTTTTGTCTTCCCTGATTTTGTCTTTATTTCATTATCCATGTTTGTCCTTCTTTCGTTCTTTATGTTGTGTTCTGTCTTTCTTTTCTTCGATCGTTCGTTCGTTCGTTATTTCGTTCTCTCTTGTTTTCGGTGTTTCGTTGTGTCGTTCCTTCGTTGGTTCTTTGCTTATGTTTTTGCGTTGTTCTTCCTTTGGTTCGTTATTCATTTGTTGTTTTTTTTGCCTTCTTTGTCTCGTTATTTCCGCATATCTTTCTTTATTTGTTCCTTCCTTTCCTTTGCTTTCCTGTCTTCTTTCGTTAGTTTCTTTCTTTCGTTTTTTATTGTGTGAGTTCGTTCTTTCTTTCTGATGTTTTTTTTTATTTCCTTCTCTCCTTCTTTCTGTCTGTCTTTCTTTCTCTCTCTTTTTCTCCGAAGCTTAAAGGCGAATTACGCCCCTCGGGCACTCTCTTTATTCTCCCTCTGTGTCTCTGTGCCTCTGTCTCTGTCTCTGTCTCTGTTTTGCTCTGTTCTGTCTCTGTTTCTGTCTCTGCCTCTGTGTCTGTCTCTGTCTATGTCTCTGTTTGTCTTTCTGTCTCCTTCATCACGGCATAAGGGGGCTTGTCAACCCCCTCGGCCTGATGGGCCCCCCATCCAAATTGGTATGGTGCTTTGAAAGGGGGTGTGTCACGATGAATTCCTCGAGATTGTACCAGACTTGGGCTTCATCACATACAGTTTTTCAAGGACATCGACCCCTTTCTTTACAGGGTCCCACTGTCTCTCTCTCGCTCCGCCTTTTTTCTTCCAGCCAAAGCAGGAATGTTGCCCCCATGTCTGTTCGTCCACACATCCCAAAAAAAACAGTTGCCCGCCCCCTCTCGTTGGACATTTTTCCCCCTGCGTTTTTCCCCCAGCCAAAAAACGACAGTTGCCCACCCCCCCCCCTCGTTCCTTTTTCTTCCACACAGCCAAAAGGCGACGGTTGGCCCCAACCCGCCTCGACATCCAAGTGTATGACGACCCCTTTGCCGGCGTCCGCAGTTCTGTCCCCAAGCCTTAGGGCAATGCCGGTTTGTTGGCCTATCGCCTGTGCGAGCTGCACTTTGGCAGATTCATCAAACAGCGTTGCCCCCAACATAGTTGACCTGACTGGTGTGGTCCCCGGCTCGGAGATCAGCAAATGGCAGCAACGATGGCAGTGCATGACCCCTCATAGCACGATTCACACAACTTACGATGTACAAATGCAGCGCCCTGGCTTGCATGCTGCGAAGTCAGACTTCGTCGACGCAAAAATGCCTTCGCGATACATGGCGACACCAAAAGCTGAAAGCGGTCTAAAGCCTTGCGAAACCACAGAAAAATCGATGACCTTGGAGCCCTCAAAGCGTGTCGCAAGGATGTCCGCCTCGCACTTGATGCATCTGTCGCCCAAGGCGCTCGCCATATCCTCAACGCCATGTCCATCAGACACAGTGTTGACATCGCCAGCGATGACCCACGGACCACGCCAGTTCTCCGCAATGAGGACGCTGAGCTCGGCGAGCGCTTGCTCTTTTACCGCCCACGGAGACAAACAAACTGAAACAAACAAAGTGCGTCCTGGCTGCGTGGCCATCCACTGAAAGCCCGCGGCAGCCAGTCGAGGAAGCGACGGCCTCGGGAGCAGCTCCTTTCGAACCCAAACTGCCGCGCCTCCAGGTGACGCCACTCTCTGGTTCCATCGGCTTCGCATAGTAGACGGTTCCAACATCCGAAACTCCTGCATCATCAAAATATGCGGTTGAGGAGCAGTGCCATCGTCTTTCGCGCCCAGGAGGTCCATGAGCCGCCAGGCCCCGGTTCTCGGATCCCCCCAAAACAGCATGCCAGAACGCGGAGTCTTAAAGGAAGTCACTCCTCAGCCTTGGAAGCCACCAGCGTGCACTTACGAACGAACCGCCTGCGTGCGATGAGAAGCAAATCAACGTCGCGACGAAGATGAGGTAGCGGGCGGCGAGGTGATTGGGGGCTCGCTGTCTGACTTTCGCAGTGATCTCTTTTCGTCCCTTTTGCAGGTCCTTGTCGTAAAAAGGCGAGGGCATCCCCCCCTGTGTTTGACGTTGGCCCGTTGATAGCACATGCCGGGTCTGTCCGCGCGTGGCTTCGAGGCAACGGCGGCACCGCTTGGGCCCCGGAATCGCCGTCATCCAAGGTAAGTCGCAGAAGTCGTGCGTTGTCGAGCTGAAGACGGTGTCGCACGGGTGGCCTCAAGGCACTCCGGCAAACGTCCACACCTGCACCCTCTTTAAACCGAAAAAGAAGGGAAACCAGGTGCAGACACTTTAACAAAAACTGAAAAGTGGCAACATCTCCGCTCCGGTCTTCGCGTGCCCGGGATCCCCTAGGTTCCCCCCGCACCTAGTGCTTTCTCACTCCTGACTTTGTCGCTGTCGGTTGGCTCTCATGTGTTCTTGTACACGCTGTACCTCCTTCCATTGTGGACTGGGTCGCAGATGCACTGGCCTTCTTCGCAGGCTCGTACTTGGCGTTCTGGGCCTTTTGCGCTCCAAGGTTAGCGCTCGCCCCTCTCAGTCAGTCTTCTTCTCAGCGCGGGCTCCTCTGGGCGTTCTTGGCCTTTCTGCTCCTAGGTCAGAGCTCTCACTTCTGTCTGGTTCTTTGCCCTCCTCCTTTGGTGCCACTAGCTCAGAGTCAGGGCCCCAGTCCATCTCTTCGAGCTCATCGCTCCCGATCTTGGCTGGCGTTGTTGCTCTCTTTCCCCTGCGGCTGTAGAACTTTGTGGTGCTTCGCACTTGTCCTTGGTTGTCCCCCCTCGCTGCTGCTTGGCTGCGGCTGCTCTTTGCTGCGCTCGTCGGACTGGCGTTGTAGTGCTGGCTGCCGATGTGGCGTCCCACTTTTCCCTGGCCCTGATCTTCTTCCGGATCTGGCGGGCCGTCTTAAGTAGTTTCTTCACCTCGTGCGGGAACTTGATCATATAAGCACGGGTCTCGTTGGCTAGCTGAGGCATGTAGCAGTCCACTACATGGGCAAGCTTATCAGCTTTTTCCCCCACTCGGCACCTGTTGGCGAGTCGTTGCTGGTACTGTTCATCTTCTTCTTTCTCGGCGGCACTCAGGGGTTTCTCCGTCATGTCATCTATAAAATTTAGATTCCCCCTCGTCTGTGCTGACCCCTTTTTGTCACAAACCTCGTCATCCGTGAAAAGGGTATAAGGGTATCTGTGCTGGTCGGGCGGTCACCTCTTGTCTTCTCTTCTCAAAAGGCCCCGGAGGCCTTGGGTCGAGGTCCTTCTCGACGCGTCCCCGCGTCACCCCCACGCCGCCGTTGATCCTTCGATCCATGGAAGCGGCAGGCCGGGTCCGTCCTTCCTTGGCAGATCCCCCCTCCATATCCTGCAGAGCTTAGGAGGTTCTATCGCACCAGGTAGTTCGTGCTTCACTATGTCCGCCTTCATGCCCAAGTCACGATCTTTAAGTCGGCAAGGCAAAGCCCCCCGCCCAGCGAAGCTGTTGGGTGAGCGAATCCTAGCCGGCGGGTCAAAGGCGCAAGTGATGAAGAGGATCGCCCCCGCCCGCTTTAAAGCGTCCACGGAGAAGGCCTTGCAGTTTTGAGGTCGCGGGTCTCAAAGTAGGATTTCGTACGTGCCGTTCACGGGTATGGCTCAACCTTGTCCTCAACCCTAAGAGGGCCTCTTAAGCACAGCGGCGACAGGTATAAGACTCAAGCACCGCGGGGAAAAATGGGAAGGCTCCCCTGGACTAACAGTCCAGGTTAACCCCCCGGCTCTCCCCCGAGGCAAGGAGGCGGCACAAGCCCCCAAGCAAAGGTGCGATACTTGAGCCATGATGGCTCCCTTTCTTTTCTTTCTTTCGTCAGGGCTGTGGTGCAGGGGTTTTACCCCCCACACGGAGCCCTTTCTCTCGCTCTCTCTAGCCTTGAAACTCAAAACTGGGGTCCCTATTCTGGAGCCCTCATCGCCCGATGGTTGCGAATAAAGGAGTCAGGGCTTGCCGTCAACGACCCCAAGCGCCTTCTGAGCCAGCTCGGGCAGCTGGATGGCGTTCTCAAACATCTGCAGCGCGAAACTTTGTCGGCTTCACAGCTTCGGTTGCATGCTGTTGCAGCAAAGGAAAAATCAGCGAAAAACTTCTGAAACTACCAGTAGCATGGCTCAGGAGATCAGGAGACCCAAGCTCCGTCGCCTCGGACTGCTTCGCCAGCACGTCCGGCCAAAGGAACTTGAGCAGAGCGTGGAGCTCTTTCAAGCT